AAACCTCTTTACTTGGGATAATATCACCACTTGCTAGCAGACTTGGAACGCTGGAAGACTTGGAATAAATGGAACTATGCTCCAATACCTCTCATTGTTGCATGGTTTACTTAGATGGAAAGAAACAACGTTAAGTTCGAAGAAGGCATAACAAAAACTGAGAAGATGCCTTTCCTATGTTCACAAGATGATTAAGTTTAGAAGATTTCCTAACATCTCTAACTCTTACTCTTTGGGACACCCAGACAAGATGTATGTTCATAGGTTTTTCTGGAAACCTCTTGGTTACCACAAAGTAAAGTTAAATACTGATGGAAGCTTCAATAAGTTAGGAGCAGGTGTTGGGGGTGTCTACAGAAATCACTTAGGGAAATGCTTATTATACTTCCACATCCCCATTATGGTTGCTGATGCTGTTGAAACAGAATTAGTGGTTGTCTATTGGGCTTTAAAAATTGACAAAATGTCTAGCTGGTACAACTTATGGATAGAAGTGGATTCTGCTGCTGTAATCAAGATATTAAAGGATGAGGAGCTTACACCCTGGCACCTTACTTATTGGACCAAAAAGATTAGAGAAATATCTTAATAGTTAAAAGTGCAATATACTTTAATCTATAGAGAGGGTAACCAACCTGCAAATTGGCTTGCCAGACAAGCTTACAACTTAAAGGAGTTCTCTGTTGCTATTTCCCCTTCCCCCACCCTTCAGTTTTTACTGCAGGGTGACAGGATTGGGCCCCATTTTTCAGAATTGTTAACCAAGATCTTAAGTGACTGTTTATTCCCTGTTATGGTTTTCCTTTCCCACTCTTTATCCTCAGTTTTTGCACTCCATGTTAGCTGGGGTCTATTTCCTGGCAAACTTTTGTTAGTGTAGCTTTTTTGGGAGGACTGATGATTCCTGTATTGAATCTAAAAGTCTCCAGCTGTTTTTTCTTCCTTGTAACCCCCTCTTTAATCAACCTGTAGGGAGACAAAAGCATCTCCTTGTGGAATATATATATATATATATATAGGATTGAAAGCAATCCAAATAAAAAAGAGAAAAGAAAGAAAAAAATATATATAATATAAAAGTGAGGAGAAGCTTGAGGAGATGCCTAATAAAAAATTGGCTTCACTCGACCTACCTACCAGGAAAACTTAAATACTTTCCTGAACTTATATTTATGGAATAGGTCTTTTACTAGTAGAGTTCTCATGAAGTTCCTATGTTTTGAATATTCTAGGTGACTTAATATTACAACATATAGTCATTCTTGAATTAAATAGAAGACTAGAACTCTTAAACTTGATAATTAGATAATCTTGTGGCTACAGAGTTAATTCAAAACTTGAATTTTTTCCGAAAATCTCACTATAATATTTATTTAAATCAAACT